CCGGCCTCCGGGTCGCCAAACATGGGCAGGGCAGGAAGGCGCCGGTGACGCCCCCGCGGCCTCACGCGGGCTCAGCGGGGACTGGGGCGGGGTGAGTGAGGTAGGACTGGGGACCAGGGCAGCGAGGCCCAAACGTTCCCGCTTTGCACAGCAGCCTGGGAGCGCGCGCCCCCCTTTTGATCTGCCCCGTGGGGCTCAGTCCTCAAGCGGTGGCCCCTCAGACGCACACACTCCTCCCAGGGACTTGGAGCCCTGGTGCCCCTGCCCCGCTTCCTCTCCCTTTCCTCTGTCCCTCCCGGGATGTTCCTCGGAGGAACTGGTTACAACAAAAGCTGACGTGTGCCTACTGCCGCGGTGATGTCTACACTGGAGGGTGCACCGTCTCTTCTTCTAGACCTTGGGCAGGAGGGCCTTGATTTTCCCTCTCTCTCCCCCATTTCATGGCTGAGACCAGCACCCAGGGTTGCCCAGCAGGTTCCCCAAGCTGGGCCAGAACATGGTTTTCTGAGGCCAACACCCTGGGCATTAGGGTGAGGAGGACCCCAGGCTGGGAAGGATGGGAAAGGCAAGGGCCCATGATGAATTTCCAGTTACGAGCAGGCAAGGCTTCTTCCCCAGGAGCCCAGGGAAACCCCAGGGGCCCCAGGCAAAGCACTTCCCCAAGTCACAGGCCAGCTCTGAAGGGGAACTCTGCTGACGATGCTGGGCTCTCCCCAGGACCTCAGGGTATTTTCAGGAGTGGCCCCAAGGGGAAGGGGGAGAAGAACTACCAGAGCCTGCCTCCTCCGCCCCCACCTCCCCCTGCTCAGCTTCATCAGTCCTGCAGCAGACCCCTGGACGGCAGGAACCCAGGGCTTGCGCTCCCTCAAGGCCAAGAGCAGTAAGAAGAGGAAGCTCTCAGCGATCACACCCCTTCTGCCCACCCCCACCCCAACTGAAAGCCCTGGGCGGATGTGGTGAGCCCCAGGTGTGTGTGGGGGTTCTGAACTCCAAAACAGAGAAGTTTAAGTGGGTGGGGACAGTATCCTGGAGCTGGAGCTGCCCCCATCTCCACCCCCAACTCTAAGTCCTTCAGCCCCCTATCTCTGAGTCACTACTCTGTGCCCTTTGTGGGACCCCTCCAGCTCCCCTGCAGGCCCCTAGTACAACCTTCTTGGAGGACCACAGGTAGGACCCGTGGGCACTCCCCAGCCCTCCACTGGGCTTGATGTGTCTGTGTTAAAGCAGCTCTGGATGCAGTTTCACAATGTTTGAGACAGCTTACTGCTTCTGTGTGCTGTGAGGGAGAAGGGACACAGGTGAGAGAACCCTAAGGACGCCCAAGATAGCTGGGGTCACATCACCTTCCTGTGCTTCAATGTCCCCATCAGTAAGATGGGAACTCATAATAGACCAGTTACTAGCCTACACTGGTTCCAAGGCCACGAGGCCACACCATTGTCGGAGGACCTACAGGGCTCTGTCCCTCCTATCAGGCCAGTCTGGAGGCTGATTCGGCAAAGCCAAGCAGAGCCAGGGAGTCTGGGCCACAGATCCCAGAGTCTGATATGGGTCTTATCCTTGGCATCAGCCAGCAGATGACTCAATGGCTGATTCTAGGGGCAAATTACAGAGCGCATGAAAGGATAGTCAGGCCCAGGCTTGCTGACCACGAGGCTGGTCACCTGCTATGCTGGGAGCCCTGGCCTTTCAGCAAGGGGACAAATAGTGAGGACTGGCCAGCTGCGACCCTGGCTCAGGAGGAAACCAGCTCGGCAGTGTGGGGACTCCAGCCCCTGCAGTCCGTGCTGGGCTGAGCCTCTTCCCCTGCTGGAAGAGCCAGTGACCTTTCGGGAAGTTCCCCGTGGGAGTGGGAGTGTATTGCTGAGGCTCTGCTCCAGTGCCCAGGCCCCAGGGCCCTGCCCACCACTCTGGCCAAAAGCAGTGATGCTGGCCGTGGCTACGTGTATGCAAAGCCACTTGCTTTGGGGCTGTCCCTTTTCAGCTCTGGAACACAGGCTCAAGGAGGCTTGACTTCACCATGAAGGAGGGACTCCCCTGCCCCCATTCCCAAACTGGGGGAGCCCCCACCCCCATAACTGAGTGAAAGCCTGCTGCCTGGGGAAGAAGAGAGGGGAGGAGAGTGTAGCCGACATCCCACCCTACTTCTGCTCTGACTAACGATCCCCCGACCCTTGGTGAGTCACGCCACGGTTGTCTCGTCTCCTTTGCCACCTCCTCAAGGACCACTGGTTGCCCTGGCAGAGGGGAGGCGGGGCTCTGGGCACATAGGTGGAGGACAGTGTGAGGAGGGGTCTCGAAAACCTGATGCCCACAGCCTGCAGGTCCCAGAGGGAGGACCCTGCTCCCATCACTGGGTCTTGAGGGGGTGGCAGCAGGTGTGTGCCAGACTCAAGAGGATTTTCGGGTTTTTGTTTTCCTGGCCTGGCTGTTACAGAGCAGACACTATCAAGTAGAGTTGGGGCTCTGCCTTTTTAAAAATTAAAATACCCAGCTGGAACGCATGATTATTGGGTGGTGTTCTTTGTAACTGGCTGGCTCAGCATCACTGCCCCCTCCGCTTCCCAGCTTTGGGGTCCCCGGTCTTTCCCTGCCCCACAGTACATCCAACCCCTCTGCAGAGCGGTGTTCCCGTCCACATCACGAAGCACAAAGCTCTGTGCTGAGGTGGCCTCTGGTGTGGCTGCGATCCATAGGCCAGGGCAGGTATGAAGGTAAGAGTGACGAGTGAGGCCACCCCCAGCCCGGCGTGTGGAGTGAGTCAGGATGACGTCAGGTTTCCTGTGCCAGGCTTCTGCCCAAGCAGTGCAGCGGCCACCCCCACAGGCTCCAGCCAGGCGAGGACAGTGACATCATGGTCTATGAAGATGGCCCTGTCCACAGTGGGAAGGACAGGCAGGAGGGGAGCTGTGACCGAGCGCCCAGCCCTCAGCACGGCCGGCGCAGGGGGGGCCTGCATGCGGCGGAGGAGCTGGACACTGTTCGAGCACGTGTGTCACGTCAGGTACACACTTGGACAGCCCTGCTGGACACGGTGAATGCAAGAAGAAAGTCTCCATGTGAGACCGGCGTGGTTCGATGCCTCTCGAATACTTGCTTTTCCTCGTTTTAACAAGCAGGCTTGGTGCCCTCCCCAGGCATCCATTCCAGACCACGCGCTCCTTTCTGCATTTATTCATTTACTCGTTTACTCAGCCCCTCGTTCAAAAGATATACTTTGAGCACCTGTGACGTGCCAGTACTGTCGCGGGAGCTGGAGATACAGCAGCAAATCGCAAACCACTGCCCTTGGGGAGCTGACCTCATTGTTTCAATAATATTTATTTTGTGATTACGTTGTGTTCATGCCAAGTGAGACTGGTTATCCACCTGGAGTAATGATATAGTTTCCTTTTAAAATAAATGTTAGGTTCGTAACAACTAAGGTGAATGGTACAGATGGTACCCAAAGATGTCACTAAGTGTAAGAAGGTAGAAGACATGAGTCAGGACACGATGCCCAAGAGAGGGTCCCTGCAGCCCCTTGCAGCCTTGCACAGTGCCATGCTGTGGGGTCTGGTTCCCCCTCCTGCTGTGGCCTCCCGTTAGGAGTGGAGGGGAGAGGGGGCTGCAACCCTGAGGAAGGGGGTCTGGGAAAGCCAGTCTTGTTGCCAAGTCCAGAGCTAGCTCCCCTCATCTGTGTCCCTTGTGGCTCTGTGCGTGTCCATCAAAGGGACCCGGGCTTGGCTGCACCCCTGGACTTGCCTGGGCTTGCGGCCAGAGGAGACCTCCTTCCCTGTCTCTTCCCTGGGTGTGCACCCATTCCCAGCACCTGTGGCCCCAAACCCCTCCAGCAGTGGGCTAGCCCATTCCCACCCTGTCAGCTGGGTG